TTAGAGGGAGCTCGTGTTCTTTGGAGCTGCACCTGGAGGGACGGAGCCTGCGTTCAGGGAGAATGGGGAGGGGGTAGGTGGCACCTGGGAGGGGAGGCTGCCAGGGGTTAACTGTGCCAGAGGAGCAGCCTGGCCTGAGGAAACGTGGTGTGCCAACGGCAAAACACAGCCGCTAGTTGCTGCCTGTCTGAGAGTGTGTCTCCCTTCCCCGGGCCTCCAGGTGCAGTGAGCAGGGTGGGTGGGGAGTGAACCAGGCCCTGGAGGCATCCAAGCCAGGCTGGACCGGACCGCGGGGCGGGCGCCACCGGGAGATGGCCCCTCTCTTTAAGGACCGAACGAACCGGGGAGACTAACTACCCCAGGTGCTGGGGACGGTCCCGCCCAGCCTCCCTGCCACATTCCCAGGAACAATCCGGACAAACCCGCTGCCAAGCCGACCCCCACGTGACCCTCTGTAGTCTCGCTTCTTGTATGAACATGAAATCCCCCGGGGTCTAGCCGGGGGCCAGGCACGAAGTAGGTGCTTCCTAAATGCAGACGGAAAGCATGAGGGGGCAGGATGGGGAGCCGGGTGCCCGGGGAGTGCGGGGCAGGGTTTTGGGGTTACCCTGACCACTGCCTTTTTATGGACCCCTCACTTGGATATTGGAGGCAGGGATGGACAGATCAGGGGCCCAGCTGCCAGCACCCACTGGGGCCTGGCGCCCTAGAAGCTCGCCCAGACCCCAGCAGCAGCTGGAGGGACCCTGTGGGGGTCACGCTTGCCCTCATACCTCCGGCGAGCTGCTTGTGCGTGTGGCCCTGTCGCTCATGGGAACTCATGGGGTCCTGCCTCCTAGACCGGGAGGATCCTGGCGTCCTCATCTGCAGGATGAACTGAGGCATCGCTCTTGGGGTGACTGCTGCTCCAGCCAGGGCAGGTGCTGGGTCAGGACTCTGCAGGGGCCCAGCTGCATCCTCTGTCTCGGGACTCTGAGCATGGGCCATAGCTCTGGGCCCAGAGGCAGCTGCCCCCAAGCTGCCGGCACCCCCCCACCCCCCACAGGGCCCCAAGTCTATAGTTTTGGGCACCACGCCTGCTCTGAGGGGATCGGGCAAGGACAGCATCTGGGGTACCTCTGCCACTCACACTGTGCTAGGCACTTGGGACTTGGCCAGCAGAGGCCAGAGGCTGGAATCTGGGCTAGTTTTCTGCCACCAAGTGGCCGCATGACATTGGGGTAGCCCTCAGCTAAGTGAGCTATTGGCTCTGAGGGGCTGCACAAAGGGGATGAGCGCCCCCCCAGACTCCAGGGAGGGGGTGCGTCTGCAGCAGGCAGGGCGCAGGGGAGCTGCAGGGCTGCAGAGGGCTGTGCGATTCTGAACAAGTCACTTAACTGCTGTGGCCTGGCTGCCCCGGGGGTTTGGAGCCACGCGCTCTTCTTGCCTGAAGGCCTAAGTCACAGGAGACTCAGCTCTGAGTCAGTTCTTTTTTATTTTTTTTTAAGATTTTATTTGAGAAAAACGAACCACGTTGCCAGGAGGCAAGATCTCAAATGCCTCCCCCAGACTGGTCTGAAGTATGGCCTGGGGCTCCCGGGCCAGGAGCAGGGGGAGGGGGTTGCGCCACCCTCGGGGGCCTCCTCCGGGCAGCCCACAGGAATCCCTACTGCCCCTTCCCCTCAGCAGGTGGTCTCTCCTGCTGTGCCGTGGCCAACGCGTCCGGACCGGGGGACTCACTGTGCACGTGTTGGATGCTTGGGTGTCAGGTTCTTTTCGTACCGGACAGGTGGACCCGAGGCCCGTGCGGGTCCTGCCCTGCGCCCGCAGAGGCCTGTGCAGGCGCTCAGTGGAGACCCGGCTGGATGGCCTCATCGGGGCTGCGTGGGGCTGGCGGGCCGGGG